CTTCCCAGGCCCATTTAAAGACTTATGAATTGGGTGCTGAGAGCTGTGCATTGGCAGGGAATTAATATCTACCATGGCCCTGTGGGGGAGGTAAAAAAAGTCTTGGCAATCAATCCTGGGAGACCTGGGGGGCACCTTAAATCAATCTGTGAGTACAAAGTGGCTCTGAACCAAGGGGAATGGAGAGAGCCATCCCTGTGCTATACCATGTAGTTAAATATTTTTGATAACTAAAAAAAGAGGAGACTTGGAAAGTAATAAAGCCCACAAAGTGACTTCTTGATGCTTGGGAAAATGCCCTGGACCCATGCTCCATTGAAATGTGTTTAAGAGATTGTCTTGCTGGAGATGAAGTGGTCCCAAGCTTGTTATGTGTTGGCCAGGATGTTTCTAGCTGGCAAAATGTTACTTTGGGTGTTCCCTGGCTTGGCTGTGCTTCTGAGCAAGGGAAGAACTGGTCTGGCCAGGTGCCGAGTCCCTCCAGCCCACTGAGTGTGCCACAGTCTTTGTCATAGGAGAGATTTCAGCCAAAACAAAGGATTTCCATCACAGCTTGTTTGCTGCCTCTGGGGCTGGCAGAGCACTCTGCTGCAGCCCTGGGACCTGCTGTGGGCTGCCTCTCATTCTCCTCAAAATGGAATTTTCCAGGTTAAGGAAAACATGGTGGTAGCTGTGTCCTGAGCGGGGGGCTGAGTGCCACAAGACCTCTCTTCTTGCATCTACATCTCTCCTCTCCAGGTACAAAATGCCATCTCCATTGCTGGTTGCAATGCCAGTGTTGGCTCTGCCACCTCTACTGACCCTGCATGCTGCCATGGAGCAGCATCAGATAGGAGCTGAAGGAGGTGGCAAGGGGGAGGCAGGAAAACACAGTGTGTTATTAGTCAAGCTCTGGCTGACAGACACATCCACAGCTTGGGGTGAAATAATCTGATCCTTTTCTGATCTTGGGTGATTCACCTCAGCCTCAGTAGAAAAACGTGGTCCCCAGCCTCACGCTGGATGGAGGACACAGTGTTGGGACCGTGCAGCTTCTTGTCAGGGTGCCCTGGCTGCATCCAGCCCTCATCCCACTCCATCACTGTGCAGGGAGCACAGCCAAGGCAGCACCACCAGGCAACTTGGCCTGATGGGGACCTGCAAGAGCCCAGTGCTCCTGCCAGATGAAAAAGCACTTCAAGTCTGTGCCAGCCCTGATTAGCAAACTTATGGTTGCCATGGGGCTTGAATACCTGCTCACAGAATGCCTGATTTTCCTGTACCCCCAGCAGACCTGGGGGACACATGCCATGGAGCAGAGGTCAATTTTGCTGTTCCTTAGAGAGCTGATTGCTTTTACCCCAGTGGACATTGAAATGGTCCTTTCTTTCCTTGTTTTTTTGTTTTTTGTTTTTTTTTTTTTTTAACCTCCCCTTCATTCCTTCTCCTTTTAGCCTAGATGGAGTGGAGGAGAAATGCCTATTTCTCAGGGGAGCCAAAAGATTACTACAGGGGGGTGTCCCACAGAGACAAGGGGGGAGGGGGGCTCTGCTGGGTAAATGTCATCAGGACTGCTTTGAAAAGGCCACCCCAATGCCCTACCTTCGCCCCGGGCTATGTTTGTGCAAAATTACCCAGATCCATCTCTGTTCAGTGCCCTGTGAGTCTGAGTGGCCCTTCCTGGCCTTGAGGACTGAAAGAAGCATCCTCCTGCTCTGTGAAATGCATCCTCTAGACACGTCACCTCCAGGTGACCAAGAGGGGCAACTTTGAGTAGGCAGCTCCCAGCAGGGAGAGAAGCCTCTTGCACATCCCCATGGCCAAGAGATTTGCCTGCTCTCCAGGGGGAGAGGGTTCATTCTTGTCCAAAATCTTCATGACTGTTCTGTCTGTGCTGGCTATCCCTGTCCTGGAAAATTTGCTGCAGCAATATCCTGAGAAGGGGCTGCTCATCCACTTGCTTCTGTGGCAGAAGGATGCATCCCAGGGGCTCTTGCCTGCTGCAGGATGGCACGGAGGGGACAAGCAACTGTTCATGCCTCAGTTTTCCTCCTGGATGCAGTGTCACTCTGTGGCTTGGTGGCTTTTTGTGCTCAGGACCAGAGGTTGTTAATTAAAACTGCAAAGTGGGGGAAGAAGCAGGGACAGAGCACAGACAGCTCTAAAAGGCTGTGCTGGGCTGCCCTGCAATTACTGTGATCCACTCTTGAAAAGAGCCGGGAGTGGATGCAGTTGGTTATTAGGGCTGTGCCTCTCAAGCTTCAAAACTGCTGTTTGTCTTCACTTTCGGCCTCTTAATTCTCCTGGAAATGCTGCAGAGCAGTGCTTTCTCAACTTCTATGTGCCAGCCTTAACCCCCTTGTGGAGGGACCCAGCTACCAGGAGGGACAACCTCCACACTGGCTGGTTCATTGGGAGGGATGGGTCTACATCAGGGAGCAGGAGCAATTTTAGCCTAACCCAGAGACAGTCTGGCCATGGAGATGGCTGGGATGTGGCTGACAGATCATGGGGAGGAGCAGGTTTTGCTGTGCTGCTGGTCGTGCCCCTTGCTACCTCCCCAGGCAGGGTTAATATAATAAAATATTTGATAAGGGGAATAGGTTGAAGGATCATGCTCCCATGTGCAGTTCACCCTCTTTAAAGCAGTGAGGGAGCAGAAGTTGAAGAGGGGTTGTCACCTCCTGGTCATTTGGTTTATCAGAAAATTGAAAAAGACAATGGATCATTCTGAATGGATCCTCACATTAGACATGTGGGGCCTCAGAGGTGGGGTGTAGCAAGAAACGCAGATCCAAGGGAAAGAAGTGATGTGCAGTCAGTCCCTGAGAGCTACCAACTCTTCTCAAAGAGGTGACAGAAGGTAGAGGGGGAGCAGCTGTTGAGGCCCCAGTTATGTGGTATGCTCGAGCAGGCTGATGGAGAAGGACCCCATGTCTGGTGGTTCTGGTGTCCCAGGAAAACTGGGGCTGGGAGAGCTGGACTGTAGGTCTTAAGTGGGACAGAGAGGTCTGTCACCACCTGGAAGTCAGGATCTGACAACCTGGGGAGGGATGGGTAAACCCATGGTTCAGCTCTGAGTGAACCAAGCTCTGTCTGCTCCTCACTCACCATCCTTACTATGTGCCTGCTGTCTTCAGCTAGGAAAGGAGACTTTAGGGAAACAGATGTTGAAGTTTGTCAAGAGCTCAGCAGCATCTCCATTGCTTTGCTCCAACCCAAGAAACCTCCAAACACCTCAGTCCCAGCAGATGTCCCTAATACTCCTGGGAGTGCAGGACAAATGAGCCATGGGGGTCCCTGCAGGGACAAGGACAGTGGTGCAGAGCTCAGGGGGCTCCCCAGGGGCTGCCCCACAGCAAAGCTTGGGCGGGAATGAGGTACGAGACGGGTGGGAGGCATTGTGGCTGCATGCAGGGAACTGCCCCAAGGATGGGGAGATGGCTGTGTAACTGCACAGAGCTTGGGGAACAGCTGGGACTGCACTGGGAGCTGGCTCATCAGGGTGAGTGTTACCATCCTCATCAGTGGCCAGAAAACAGAGGGGACAGCTGAGGGATGGAAGGGAGAGAGATTTCCGGCAATGTTTCTTTCCCTGTTGCAATCCCTGAAGTGGGCTTGTGTTCAGGCTCCTTGTGCCTCAGCAGTACAGCACAACCTGTCTCTGCACTGGCGCAGATCCGTCCCCTGCCTCAGGCATTCCCCAGGGAAAACAGCCTGTGCACTGTCTGGAGGCAGGGACAGAAATTCATGCCTTATTAGCTCCTGATTCTGGCTTTGCCACACAGAGATTGTGACCTGCAACGTGCCACTTTCCTGGCACTGTCACCTGTCCTGGCATCTGCCGAGCCAGTCCTGCTGAGTCCCTGCCAGCATCATCTGGCTGCTGTCCCTGTGTTCTGTCCCAGCTGTCACCAGCACTGTGCCATAAACCCCTCTTTGATTGTGTCTCCATTTCCCCAAAGGGGATGAAGTTTCATTTCCTTCATTGCTTCCATAGGAGCAGGCAGCAACTCTTCTCCCTCTCCCTCACCATTTCAGACACTATTTCCAGCTTGTTGATTTCTTCCCTTGAGTAATGTCTTGTTTACACTCATTTACCCTCCAGCCCTTTGGCTTCAGCAATTCCTTTCCTCTGGGGAAAAAGATGATTTTCCGAGGAAAGTCATGTCTCAGGGCAGCCCCAGACAATTCCAGCCCTCAGTGTGTTTGCTCTGCCAGGTCCCTCTGCTTGATGCCTGTTTGCTGCTGTGAGCAGAGGTAGGGCCAGCTTAAGGCTACCAAGCCAGACCAGGGCTTCGATGGTCTTGCTCTGTCATCCCTCACCTGCTCTGAAATTTCTTTAAGCAAAAGCATCAAGGGGTGAGTGGTGCTGCTCCCATCTGCTGTGTGCTCTGACATCAGGAGGAGGATTTGGGAGTGCAGCACCCCAGGCGCCAGGCTCAGCAGTGCAGTGAGCTGTGCTGGGGCTCAGCCTGAGTGGGAGCGGGGAGCAAAGGTCTCTCCTGGTAAGTCTCTCCACGCTCCCTCTCCAAGATCCCTACACCACCTGCTCGAATCCAGCCCCACCGGAGGCTCTTTCAGCTCCGGTTCAGCCCCTGTGCAGAGTGGGATGGTGCCGGGATACGCTGAATGAGGAGGGTCCCGGAATGCCAAAGCCCTTCAAGGTGTCATCCTCGGGGGGAACAGGGTCCACCTGGGCCCTGCCACCCTCAGAGAGGATGAAGAGACCGATGAGTGTCCCTGTGCACACGGGCACCTGCCTGTCCCGTCCCGCGGAGTGGCAGTGCCCGCAGCCGTCGCATGGAGCGGTGGAGCGATTCGCAGCCCCCTCCCCCCTTACCCATCCCCCTCTTACTCACCCGCCGCCTCCTCCCCACCTCCGAGGGGTCGGGGCGGGCTGGAGAGCCCGGGGCCGGGGAACCCCCGCCCCGCAGCCGACAGCCCTTCGCCACCGCAAGGGGAGCGGGAGCCCGTGGGCTCCACCGGCTCCAGGAGGGTCTCGGGCAGGTGCAGCACGTGGAGGAGAGAGGAGCCGCGGGTGGAGCAGGGACACGCATCCTCGACACGCGCCCGTGGGGCTCAGGAACGCGTGAGTACCTCTGTGTGCGCGTATCTGTGCGAGTGTGTGCGGGGGGCTGCGGGACGGCAAAGCGGGAGTGCTCCTTGCGGCCGGGGGCTGCCAAAGGACGGGGTGCCCGCACGGAGGACAGGCTGGAGAGCAGACAGGCACTGGGAACGGGGAGGGAGCTGAGCCGGACGCGGAGCAAGGGGCGATGCTGCGAGCGCAGCAACTTCCTCGCACCGAAGTGTGACAGGAGCCGGCTGGAGCCACCTGCTCCACGGGAGGGTGATTCAGGTGACCCAGGGGTTGCACATCTGAAAGTGGGGACACGCCAAGAAGCCGCAGGGTCCATCTGCATGTCCCCGAGATGAGCCCGGACAACTAGGTGCTGCACAGGCCCCCGTGCCCGGCAGTGCCAGGGCGGCAGCGGGGCTGATCGACGCTTTACTCACCACTGAGGCCATGCAAATGACAAATGCCGGCGTTGCGAAGGCTCCTGGCGGGGCTGGAGACGCCTGCCTGCGCCGCCCTCCCCTGGGACTCTCGGAGTCAATGGGGTTTATTACTTTAACGTTATTTTCTCTCTCTCTGAGGAGCATCTTTTCGGCAGTGCTACGTTGCAGATAAGGAGCCAACCCCTGTCAGGAATAGAGGTCTCGGCACCGGGATTTGCCCAGCCAGCGGTGGGAAAGGAAGCCCCCAGCACACCCCCGGCTCACCCACCAGACTCAGCTCACAGAGAACAAGAGGGAGAAGGTGAATAAGGGCAGGCAGCTTCTCCGAGCTGAGCCGAGGGGAGAGCAGCCGCAAGATTTCGTTAGCCTGCCTCTTAAGGCAGTGAAGTCTCCATCCCCTCCCACACTCCCTCCCCAGCCTGACCCTGTCCGGCGCAGGGGTGGTGGGACCTCAGCCTTCAACTGGAGCTTCTCAACAAGCCGTAAGTCCTTCTCATGTTGGAAAATCAATTTTTCCTCAGCTGTTTTATGGTCGCCCTGCCAGTCCCTCTGCACAGCTGGTAGAATTGGAGCTGCGAGTGATTTTTGGGTTTGGCTTTTGGGGCTGTGTCCTGCTCTGCTTCCAGAGCCCTGCTGACATTTCCTTGATGATGGGGTGAAGGGGCTAAGGTGGGCTGGGGAGCTGCCAGGGTTGCTTGTAGATGGGAAATTAGGCAAGAAGCACTTGGGAAGCCTGGAGGGAGGTTAGGTGGAGATTTTCCTCTGAGATTTTTGCCAAAGGAAAGGCTGTGGCTGGGGTAGGATGGGCACAAGGGTGCAGAGCAATGGTGATCAGCAGCACCCTGACACCAGTGGGGAGAGGGACAGAGGGAGCAGGGTTAGCAAAGGGGTTGGGAAAGCATCCCGCAAACCTCCCTGTCTCTCTGCAGCCATGAATCCTTACGTCAACTGCTCCAGTCCTGAGTTCCCCCTGTCCCAGCAAGACTTTCCTGTGGAGCCCATCAGTCCTGATCTCAGCAACAGGACTCACGCAGAGACCTTGTTTGACCCCAAGGATGCCAACCTGACAGAGGAGCAGCTGCGGGATAAGTACCTGGGGCCTCGACGGTCCAGCTTCTTTGCCCCAGTGTGTGTCATCTACCTGCTGATCTTCTTGGTGGGGGCTGTGGGCAACACACTCACCTGCATTGTCATCCTCCGGCACCGGTTCATGAGAACACCCACCAACTACTACCTGTTCAGCCTGGCCGTGTCTGACCTGCTGGTGCTGCTGCTGGGGATGCCGCTGGAGCTGTACGACATGTGGAGCAACTACCCCTTCCTGCTGGGTGCCAGCGGCTGCTATTTCAAGACACTGCTCTTCGAGGCCGTTTGCTTCGCCTCCATCCTCAACGTCACAGCCCTGAGCGTGGAGCGCTACATTGCTGTGGTGCACCCACTCAAAGCCAAGTACGTGGTGACCAGGAATCACGCCAAGAAGGTTATTGTCACCATCTGGGTCTTGTCAGTCATCTGCTCCATTCCCAACACCAGCCTCCATGGGCTGCAGCCTCTCTATGTGCCAGGCCGAGGGCAGGTGCCCGATTCAGAGATCTGCACCCTGGTGAAGCCACGCTTGACCTACAACCTCATCATCCAGATCACCACCATCATCTTCTTCTTCCTGCCTATGGGGACCATCAGTGTCCTCTACCTTCTTATCGGCCTGCAGCTCAAGAAAGAAAAGATGCTGGAAGCCTTGGGAGCCAAGACCAGCAGTAGCCGCAACTGCCACAGGAGTCAGGGGCAGAAGAAAGTCAAGAGGAGGCAGGTCACAAAGATGCTGTGTGAGTCAATGCTGGGGATGGCAGAGCCAGGGAGTATCTCCCAAGGCTGTGTTGTGAGGGTGCTGGGGGGAAACTGAGGCATGGACAGTCCAGAATGCTGAAGCTGGGTCATCCTGGAGGAAGGCTGTGGCTCTGGCTTATGGGGTGTCAGGGTAAAGGCAGATCTGGTTGTTCCAGTACAGCACGACGATTGCTCATGACAGCTCCTTCCCAGCCATGAGACCTCCCCTCCTCAAGGAAAGTGCTGGGTGAGAAAGGGAAAGGAGTTGGGTTGGACTGGGAGAACCTGCTCCCCTTCCCCCAGCCCAGACCTCAAATGCTGGTAGCAATGATGGGATTTCCCAGAGGGGGACCATTTCTGTCCAGCCCCACAGCCTCTGTCACTGTACTGGGGCAATGACCCAAGGCTGAAGTGGAGCATCCTCTGTTCCCCTGTTCTGTGCTCTTGATCTCCTCCCCAGCACAGTCCCCACAGCCTCTGGCCCCCTTCCAACAGTGGGAGCTGGATGCTCATGGGTAGCTGTCTCTCCCCAGCATGCTGACTTCTGCACGCTCCCAGTCCCATGATGGCACAGCAACGGCAGGTTGCCCAGCCCAGTCCAACAACAGGGCCAGAGCTGCTTCCCCACCGCATCCCAGACAAGTGGTAACTCTGCTTCCCCTGGCACCAGGGCTGGGAGGGGGACAAAGGGGGACCCGTCCCTGCATGCCACAGAGGTGCATCGTGGCACAGGTACGGCAGAGCAGGAGACCCCAGGACTACCTGTACATTACCCCCTTTGCTTTCCATCAGCAGAGCTGGGTTATAAAAAAAACCCCAAAACCGGAGTACAAGGAAAGGTTGCAAATAGCTCTTGCTCCTTGGACTTTGCTGGTGAAGGTGGCAGGTTCCTGGGGGCTGGATGCCAATAGGTGAGTCCCCCAGCTGTGCTGCATGGCTCCAGGGCTGTGGTAGGGCTGCTGCCTGCCAATGAGAAATGGAGATATGTGGCACAGGAAGCCCTAGAGCAACCCCGGCAGGAGATGGTGGGAGGGAGATCTTGTCCAGACTTCCAAATCCCTCCATGACAAGTCCAAAAGGCACTAGATGGACCTTTCCACTCTCTGTCTTCCTCTCTGTCTTGCATTTTCAGTTGTTCTTTGCTATGGCCAAAGCTGAAATGGGGAGGTGCTTGGCCATGGACTGGAGGTCTCTGGTAAACCCCATCCTCCCAGTAACACTGGCTCCTCATCTCCCCACAGTCGTGCTGGTGGTGGTGTTCGGGATCTGCTGGGCTCCCTTCCACACCGACCGCCTCGTCTGGAGCTTTGTCTCCACCTGGACCAGCAACATGCTCCACATGTTCCAGTACGTCCACATCATCTCAGGTGTCTTCTTCTACCTGAGCTCGGCTGCCAACCCCATCCTCTACAACCTGATGTCCACCCGCTTCCGGGAGATGTTCAAGGAGGTGATGTGCCGCCCCGGCCACCGCCCGCCGTGGTCACGGAAATACTCGCCCAGCGTCACCCGCACCACCACCCGCAGCACCGAGTGCGAGCCCGTGCCCGGCACCAGCGGGCTGCCCCTCTCCGATGCCGAGGAGTACGAGCTGGAGGAGATGGAAAGGGGCCAGGCCACCACCCACACAGTGTCCCTCTACTGAAGAATGGGGAGACACAGAAGGACTGAGACCAGCTTTCCTCACCACCAGCATCCACATGACACTCATTCTGTGGTGGGGAGTGGGGCAGGAGTAATGAAGGGGTCCCTGACTCTCTGGGCTCATCCGACTGGGATGCAAAGGCTGGTTGTATCGACAACACTGCTCCAGGGACATGGTGGCAGTGGCTATGCTGTGCCCTGGATGCATGGCACCCACTGTGCTCAGCATTAGGGCTGGCCAAGGCATCCCTTGTAATGTGGGAACAGTTGATTTCTATGTCAGAGATATGCCAGCAATTCCCAAAAACATCCCAGCCCAGTGGGGTGAACACGCAGGGGCTGGTATTGGGGGTGTCAGGCACCCCGGGCTGTTTTGGGGCACAGTGCTGGATGGGTGCCCTGAGAGGTGCTCCTATCTGGGGTGAGACCCATGGAGGTGGGAGAGGTTTGCATGGGATGGAGCAGGGAAAAAACAGTCTGTGGGTGCCTTTTCCCTCAAGATGTCCTCAGGGCTCTCTGGCACCAACATGACCCTGATTTTGTGGCACCGGTGGGGCCAGCTGGTGTCCAGCTGCAGGGTGATGGTACAGCTCCTTCCTCTCACCCTGCATTCCCAGCCCTTTGAGGGCAAGGGAAGGAGTATGGCTGCTCTCTCCAAAGATGGAGTCTGCAGGGGAAAATACAGGACAAAGGGAGCCCCTGACTGCCTGTAGTGCCAAGGCACAGCTCCATGCCTGTCCTTGTGCCCCATGAATATGCTCCCCCCTGATTAACATCTCATGGGTGCCACCCTCTTCTTCCTCTGCCCACTGTGGCCCCCTGAACCCCTGGGGAATGTGGGGAGCCCTTCTCCATCCCTGCTGTGCACGGATTGAGCCTCACTGAGAATTAAAAAGGGTCATTGGCTTGATTTGTGCTCTCGTTGTGTCCCCCAAGACCTAGCGCTGCTCCCAGCATGGGACTGAACCTGGGCCGTGCTCCTGGAGAGGGCCATGTGCCAGGGTGGTGGGCACCAGGGTGGTGGGCACCAGGGTGTTTCACCAGGTCTCCCTGAGGGCTCTGCTGCCTCTGTGGGTCTGCGGGTCCAGGCACATTCAGGGCACAGCAGGGAGGGCATTAAGTGGGATGCATGCACCCTTCCTGGTCTCCAGGATGCTCAGGCTGAGCTGGGGCTGGGGCTTTTGCAGAGGGACAGCTGCCTCTAGAGTGGTGGCCATCAGTCTGTCCCCAGACACATGGCTCATAAAATGTCGTGAAAATGCCAGGGAGCGTGGCCTGGCTGGTCATGCTCTCCTGGGGTGGAAGGACCCATCAATTTCGTGTCTGAGATCAATGCTGCTGACTCCCTGGTGTACACCAGGTCCTCCCACAGGATGAAATATTGAGGATCTGAAACGGCAGCTGAGGGACTGTCCAAGCAGCTTGAGCTCTTGCTTTGCACTACTTCCCCAGCCCCAATTCCCCCTGGCCAGCTGTGGAGGCTTCCTTGGCTCAGCAAGGAAGTACTCTGGGCAGAGTGGACCCTGAGGGGACCTGAGCAGAAATACAGCAAGAGCAAGCCCCAGGCAGAGCACTGGCAGCTGCTGCTCTGCTTCCAGCCCCTTCTGAGCACATCACACGGGACTGTGGCCAGGCCAGTGAATAAAAATGGGCAGGATTTGGAGCTTGCAAACTCCCTCCTGCCCCCATTCACTCAGTCCCTGGCTCAGGGGCAGTGCAGATGGCTCCCCTCCACTTCCCACCCCCACAGCAGGATCTGCCATGGGCAAAGCCCTTCCTCAGCCCTTGTGGGTCCTGTTGGGTGCTGCTGAATGAGGGTGGGCATTGGGCTGCAGTAACTCTGCACTTCAGTGCACTTCAGTCCTGCTGACTGCTTGCAGCCTCTCTCTGGAGGATGTCAGCGTGGCCAAGGGCATTGACATCCCTCTCTGTCTGCTGTTGCTGATGGTCCTGGCAGGGAACAGCACTCTGGCAGCCATGTGAAGACTCTTGTTGCTGTTACATGAGTGGATGTGACTGATGCCTCCTTGATGGCCATTATTGCCCCATCTTACTTCACCCAGCCACTTCCCCAGCCAGTAATCTCCAGGGAATGGCTTTTTAATAGGCAGTCAATAGTATTTTATTATGCAGCAACAGACAGGTGCCCACGTGAAGCTTTGGGGTCCCTTGTGCTGAAAGTCGGGAGAACATGTTCCCTTCCTCATGAGCAGCCAGGCTGTGCAAGGATGCAGCTGTGGTTGCTCCAGCTCAAGCTCCTTGTCAGTGCCAGAGGACAGTGTGTGTGTTCTCAGGGTTTTTTTAGGGCATTCTGGGTCTCAGCACAGCTGGAGTAGAGTTCAGAGCAGCCAGAAAGACAAGACACTGGCTTTGCCTTCATCCGCGTTATGTCCCCAGCTGTCTAGCCATCCCCTGACCTGGGACTCCCCATTCTCCTTGGCTACCCCAAATTCCCCTCTCTGAGATGCAGGAGGGGTGTGTTCTGCTCAGGCCGTGGCATATTGGGCAGTGATACTGAGGGCTGCCCCCCTACCCACTCCCCTCACACACAGCTGGGCCAGGATCACCCTGAAAAACATCCCAACAACTTGACAAACCTGCAGCTGCAGCACAGCTGGTGGCACCTCCTGGGTGGAGATGTGTGGGCAAACTTTGCCCCCCTGGCTGTGGTTTGGCAACAGTGTGTGGAGACGTCCGGGGTTACCACGTGCCAGCCAGGCTCTCAAGAGATGCTGGAATCAAAGGCTCCCAGGCAAGTCCTTTAATCCCTTAATTAATAGTAAAATCTGCAGTCAGGGCATGTAACCTAATGAAAAGAACTGATCTCCTCAGGGAGAATGGTTTCATGGAGAGGGTTTTATGCCTCTCCATCACTAGGAAAGCAGTGGTTGATGACTCCTGCCAGCCTCAGGCTCATTGCAGACCCCAGGAAGGGAATTATGGAGCCTGTTAGCACTGAGGACAATGCTCCCAACTGCCTCAAGCCCTCAGGGTCAGTCTAGTCCCTGCTGCCTTCCCAGTATAAATTAGAGGGATTATTCCTGCCAGGGAGGTGGTATAGAAGTAAAAAGCCCTGCGGGACAGGGGAAGACAGAAGCAAGGGATGGGTAAATTGTTCCCACTGCTTCACCTATGTAACTGGCCAGGGGGCATGACTGGCATTTCAGAATGGTTGCAGGGAAGGGGCATCCCAAAACAATGCCTGGGAGTCAACTGAACAAACATTTCAGGACCCAAGGCAGCCCAGAGGGGACAGAGCAGAAGTACATCGAGGGACCAGGAGCTGCAGGGAGTGTGTGGATGCTGTTGCTCCATGTCCTTGCTTGGAGCTGGGAGAAGCATCTCTCTGTCCCTGCAATATGGAGCACATGGCCAAGGTGGGCTCCACATCACCACCTCCTTTCCAAATACTTAGTCCGAAGAGCCATTCCCCAAAATGTGTCTCTGTCTCATCTGTCCTCCCAGACTTACAGCAGCTTCTGTCCTGCTCCTGCCTAATCACCTGCTCCTGGCTGCAGGGAGCCCTCCTGCCCTGCCATGTCCACTCAGCACCCCCACAGTGAGCACCCGTCCTCTTCCATCACCTCTGACCCCGCTCCCAGGAGACTCCCTCCCTCCCAGCAGCTCATGGAGTTGTTTTCCCCCTGCGCTGCCGCACACCCTGAGCGACACAGTATCTCCAGAGCTTTCAGTGAAAAGATTTATCACCATAGCTTTGGGGATTAAAAAGCAATCCATCTGTGAGGCTGCCCCAGCCTTGTAAGGCTTTTTTTTTGTGCTGTGGTTGTTTGCAACAGGCATGGGGTGGGTTTTTTTTTCCTTTACAGAGCCAAACTCAAGTTTTACAGCAATTGCCTTATATATTTGTAGCCATGATAGATGGCTCCTGAGTGTGCCAGCAGATTTTTTGCCGCCCCTCTTCAAGGGAAAATGGTTTCAAGAAAAGAATTGTTTTTCACTTCCTTCGCACAGCCATGGCATAGGGAAAACTTGTCCAGTGTTAATTTAGCAAAGCCCTTGTGTTCCTGGGACTGAGCAGTCCCTGTCTGGGGCTGGGCAGTGGGGCAGATTTGGGCTGCCCAACCATGGATGTGGCACAGCAGCCACCAAGATCCCAGACTTTGTGAGGGGAGCAGGGAAGCAGGAAAATGCAGCTGTCAGGAAACCACAGGGATGTGCTGGGTTTGAGCTTAGGCAGCTTTTTGAACCATATTTCATTTATTTCTCTTGAATCTCAGGATAGTGGTGGTGGTGAAAAGCCAACACCCAGGGGGACAGACAGTGAGAGATCATAGAATCATAGAATAGTTCAGGTTGGAAGGGACCTTTGAATGTTATCTAGTCCAACCCCCAACATATATATGTAGAATTTGATTCTGCTCCAAGGGGGCACTCCTGGGCTCAGCTTTTAGCCCCATCTTCCTGCTGCTTCCCAAAGAGCCAGGACTCTCACAGAAAATAGCTTTCAGGCAGCCTCGTGCTGTGGGAGGCTGGGAAGAGGCGGTGTGGGAAGCACAGCCCACCCAAGGGCCTGGATGGAGGAGCTCAGGTGCAGTTCTGGATGTCTCAGGCTGACTCAGCTGCGGTGCAGTGTGACTGTCACCTGCACTGGGGATGTCCTTCTCCACGTCACAGCAAACCCAACAGCCCTGGAGGAACCAGACCATGTGCAGGGAAGGGATGGCATCCCTGTACCCCACCTCTCCCTACCTTAGGGCATGCAGGGAGGGAACGAACTAGGGCTAGAGGGACAAAAGACATCCCTAAGAAGTGAAGGTCTGGGTGTTATTTCCTTTCTGAAATCCCACTGTCCTCATGGCAGGGTGAGGGGAAGGACAGAGGTTCAATGCACAGTGCAGTCTAGCAGGGACAACGCATTAAAGCCACCGGGTACCTCACAAGCATCACCTGGGACAGTGTTAAAACCCCACCTCAGTGGGTTAGAAGAGAAGAGACTGCCTGGTGAGCCCACGCCTTCTCCCGTCGCGACTGTGTTGTTGCTAAAGATGACAGAATTTATGTCAGAGAAGCCTGTGTGATGCTTAATTTTGTTCATGGGGACACTTTGGTTAAGAAATGAAAGTGATGCATAATTAGCGCAGCAGTAAGTGGATTAAAGCTGGCTGCATGGCAGAGCTCTGAGGCTAATGGGGACCGCTAATGACTGGCTATGATTGCTGGCAGGACTGGAGGGATTGGGCTCAGCCCCTAGGCCCCAGATTGTCCCTGCATATTGTCCCTGAACAGGTCCCCAGGGCTTAGGGAGTGCAAGTAGAGCACCCTGAGACTGACCTGGAGAATAAAAGCCCTGCAAAGGACTTCCCCACAGCCACACAAGCCACACTTTGGGTCCCAAGCACACGTGTCCCAGGGGTCTGCCCTGGTCCCCTGTGTGAGATGAGGGGGCACCAGCTCTCCAGTCCTCATTGGGGTGGAATAAATTCCAGTATGAAGAGGAAGGCTGGGATGCCCTGACTGGGAAAAGCTAACTTTTATCTAGTGTTATATATATATTTAGAACCAGTGAAACTGGTCTCTGACCAGTCCCTATTGTCCCTGAGCAGGTCCCTAAGGGTGGTGGTGGAGTCTCTCAAGGGGAAATGCCTCCTCATGGATTGGGTGCTTTTCTATGATGTCAGCTCCTCTTCAAATGTGGTTGTGAGAGTGTTTGCTTCTGCTAAGGACCCGTCTGTGTCACAGAATCAGGAAGGGAATAACAGCCCCTGCTCCTCCATTCCACCATGCCCAGATGGCATCTTCCCTTCCCTCCTGGCAGCTGGCAGTACCTGGGCTGAATCCCTCCAAAATGAGTTTGAATGAAAACAAGTAAAAACCCAAGATATGGACTCAGGCTCAGGGCTAGACCTCAGCTGTCTCTGCTGCAACATTATTATAGTGGCAGACTTTAAT